AGTTGGAGTCCTGGTACCAATCCCACAGGGATTTTGATTTAATTGGTCTGGGATGAGGCCCCTGAATCTGTTCTTTCAAAGAAAAATATCTCACTGGTGATTGTGGTGCCCATCAAAATTTGAAAACTACTGTTTCAGATGACACATGACTGTTTGTAAATTTAACAGCCTACTTCAAATCTAAGATGCAGCAAAAGGAACAATTTCACGTAGTAAGCTTTGGCAGAAGTTTAATGAGGGTTGTAATGAGCTAAATATAAAGATCAGTTAAAAATATGAAATCTTGGTGCCCGGGACCAAATGGTATTGGCTTTAAGATGTGTAGCGGAGTGGTTTGGATTTTAGGCCTAGAGCTGGACATCCAGGCTGGGGGTAGACGCCATGTCTGCTGCACCGCCGGGCACGTGTGGGCAGCCTGCTCAGACTCTCCAGTGCTGCATTCCTCCTCTGCCAGAGGGGATGGTAGCTCCATACTGTAATCCATACAAAGCCCTGAGTCCAGAACCTGCTATTTGGTTAGTGTTCAGTAAACGCTAGCACTTGTTGCCATTTAAGTGTTTTTCCAACTGGGGATGTCTTTGGTGAGCCTAAGTCCCTTTCTGACCGGGTGTTTCTGCTTGCTCCAGCATGTCTCTGTAGAGTGGCTGCTGAGGGTGAAGACTTTATTTGATTTCCACACACAGTCTTAACAACAGACTGGGACCTTTATAAACATTAGTCTTGAACCACCTGAGTTAACCAGTATAGCTGTTGAGCAGTTAGCTTAGTATTAAATCTTTAAGATATTTTTAAAATGTTTTTCAGCAAGGAAACTGGGAATCAAAGGTTAGTGTTATAGTGATTTTTTAAAAGCATCTGAGCGAAAACAAATTCTCATTTTATTTTCAGTTTCACTGAACTTCTGGCCTGGATTTTCTCAGGTTCTAATTTGTGTAGGGCTGTGCTTTATTAACAACTTTTAAAAGTGTATGGGAGTTGTATTTCTAGAGTTTTTTGGGATTTTCTTTTAAGGATTGTATAAGATACTAAAGGAGTTTGAATTCTCCTTTTGAACATATTTAAGGCTCCCAAATTAAGGGGTCAGGCTTTCTTTTTCTGTATACTTTAGACCTGTAGATATAAAATTAGAAGAAAATGTAGCATATAGGCATGCATTGAGTAAGAAATGGGCTCTTGATTCAAGTCCTGGCTTTCACCACTTATTGACTCCATGATTTTTGGCAAATTTCTAAAGTTCTCTATTCAGTTTCTTCATCTGTAAGAGGGCTGATAATATTACCTAATTAATGGGGTTGTAATGAACATTAAATTATGTCAACTATATGTTGAAGCACTTGAGAGTGTTGCCTGTTTTTATTGTTCGGTCCCTAAGTCATGTCTGTCTCTTTGCTACCCCTGGACTGTGTAGCGTGGCAGGCTCCTCTGTCCTCCTCTGTCTCCTGGAGTTTGCTCAAATTCATGTCCACTGAGTCAGTGATGCTATCTGACCATCTCATCCTCTGCCACCCCCTTCTCCTTTCACCTTCAGTCTTTCCCAGCATTAGAGCCTTTTCCAATGAGTTGGCTCTTCACATCAGGTGGCCAAAGTGTTGGAGCTTCAACAACAGTCCTTCCAAGGAATATTCAGGGCTGATTTCCTTTAGGATTGACTGGTTTTCTTCTTGCAGTCCAGGGGATTCTCAAGAGTCTTCTCCAGCACAATTCAAAAGCATCAGAAGGTGCCTATTGCATAAACCTTTTAAGTTTTGATGATTTTGATGAAAATGGTGACATCCACCCAAATCATCTGAACAAAAAAGAAAACTAAAATAGAAATATTTAAGCATCTTTTCTCGTAAACTATTTGAGAAAAAATTTTAATTAAAAATAATTATGGGCCTTAGCCTATGAAAAAAATTGTAACAAAAAATTGTAACCTTTTATGTAGTAAGGTTAATTCCTGTGTCCTATGGGATGGCTTACCTGTCATGTTTACTTGGTAGTCGGATTTAGCAGAGAAGCTAAAGATGTTTTTTCGGGGAGGGGGTTTGTATTTCTACATTACATTCTTTTCCTTTGTTAAGTTAAAAAAATGTTTTTAATCTGACAAAATTTGTGATTCCCTATCAGAAAACCTGGATTCAAGTCTCTGTGCTGCCATTCATCAGGGAAGGCAGGTTACCTGGCTTGTAAGAACCTCCTCTCCTTTATCTGCAAAAGTAGAATAAGATACTGTATCTCACATGTTTGTGTGAGAAATAAAGTTGCCTCCTAATGGGGCTTTCTACTCCCTCTGTTCTGCACAGTAGAAATAAACTGAGCCACCTGTGTAATTTTAAATTTTCTAGTAGCCACATTAAATAAATGAAATTAGTCTTAATATATTTTATTTAATCTAAAATATTATCACTCCAACATGTAATTAATATGAAAATTATTAATAAGATTATTCTTTTCATTCTGTCTTTGAGATCTAGTGTGTAATACAGCACATCTCAACTTGAACTAGCAACATTTCAAGTGCTCAGGGGCCATAGCTGCCAGTGGCTATCAGTCCAGATCTGGAATACAGATTACTGGTCCCATCCATGAGCACCTGGAGGCTGCCTTGGCCTCAAGCAGCTTTTCTCTTGAAACTGTGTGCACCTCTGGACAAATGAGCCTGACATTTCTTTCTTCATCAGCCTGGATTAGTATCTTTGTCCCTGGGAGGACAGGCTCCTGCCCTTAGCCTCCTAGCTGACCCACATGAAGACTTGCTCTGGGCTTGTCATGTGCCTCTCTGTTTGGCCAAGGGCCAGAGACAACTAGGAATTCCTGAGAATGATAAACCTTTTGAACCACAACCACAATCAGAGCTCCAGGGCGGGAGCTGAAGTTCAGGACAGGATCAGGCTTCCTAATACCCTTCATTCTTGCCTTTTATCTGTCCTATTTGCCTTCTTTCCCACATTTTAGAGATTTATCTGGTGTCTCTGGGAAAACCAGGGACAAATACCAGCAGCCTGCTAAAGAATTCAGCTTTTCCCGCCTCTGCCTCTATTGATTAGCAAGGTAGCCTTTCCTTCCCAAACATTAACTTTAAAAAAAACCATTCAGAATGTTTTGGAGGCCAGGAAATTTGGAGAACAGAAATATTCACATCTAGGTTTTTTTTATTTTAGGGTTTTGTACTACTGGTTTTCATACAAATTTGGGGAGAAATATAGTAAAGGAGTATTACCCTAATAGCTGTATGTAATGGTAAAAAGATGTAGAGAATAGGGCACCCAGGTGTACTCATCCAGCAAAAAAATATGCTCAGATGTCACCCTCTTAGGAAGTCCTACCCTGATCACTTTTATCTAAAATAGCTCCCAGCCTGCAGCACTCTCTCGCTACCATTTTTGTCTGTTTTGTAGATATCACTTAGTGAAGTTGCTCAGTCGTATCCGACTCTTTGTGAACCCATGGACTGTAGCCCACCAGGCTTCTCCATCCATGGGATTCTCCAGGCAAGAATACTGGAGTGGGTTGCCATATCACTTATTACTAACTAAAATTCTTTGACTTCCCAAATAGAATATAAGCTCCGTTAGAGTATGGACTTTGTTTTGTTTATCCCTACATCCCCCAACTCCTAGTATAATTATAATGCTTGGCTGTTGCAAGTGAAAAGTGAAAGTGTTAGTCTCTCAGTTGTGTCCAACTCTTTGCGACCCCATGGACTGTAGCCCACCAGGCTCCTCCGTCCATGGCATTTTCCAGCAAGAATACTGCAGTGGGTTGCCGTTTCCTTCTCCAGGGGATCTTCCTGACTTGGATCGAACCCAGGTCTCCTGCATTACAGGCAGACTCTACCTTCTCAGCTGCCAGGGAAGCTGGCTGTTGAATCAATGAATAAATAAGTGAAAGGAAATATTGTATGTACCGATAATTTGAAAATTAGTTTCCTAGGAGAAGTCTACCCCAACCATTGTTTCTCTGACCAGTGTGTGTGATAAGTTTGAATTTTCAGACCTAATCTCAGTGGTAGGAATCCTAGTGTTTACTCAGGGTCAATCGTAAAGATAAACTTTCACTGCTTTTAGATAGTCCAGGGCTTGCAGAGGGGAGAAAAGTAGTTTGTAATGAAGTTGTAAAAGGGGGAGCTGATCTGTACAGATGAAAATTTCAGATTACACAGGGTAATAAAATGGAAGAGGGGGCATTGGGATAGGGAATTGGGTTGAAAATTTTTTACAGTTCAGCTTCTGTTTATGTCTGAGGTTTTGGGGCAAGAAAGTTGGTAAATAAGAAGCTTAGGTAAAAGGTGGAAGAGAGTCATAACCAGAAAGATTAGTATTATTTGGAGGAGAGGTTGGCTTTATAGACTCGTGCCCCAAAAGCCACAAATCATATTTCCATTGTCTTTGTTTATAATAAGCTTTATTTAACATCTTAATTAATTAATTAATCCTCAGTGGTTCTTTTGGTTTACCTCTTCTACCAGCTTGATGTCACTGGCCATAGTTCGTGGCCCTTGGAATTATGGTTCTGTGAGCACGGACGCATCATACTCTGTACAGGCCAGAAGTTCTGTTGAAACTCCTGGTTTGTCCCAGGAGCACCCTGCCCATAAAAACTAATCCAGGCATGTTGAGAACTCTCAAGTATTATTAAGTACTATTTATATTGCATTCAAGTAAATTTTTAGCAAAAGAAATAAATTCAGATTTACCAGCCTTTACCTTTCCTTGTTCTACTTCTTTAAATGAGAAAATCTATTGTTTTATGTAAATGCATCAACTTTTTTACATACTGTGAATAAATTGTTTGGTTTGTGAATATATTTAAGAAAAACAGTAATCAAAATAGTTAATTTTTATATTGTGGCAGTAGGCTTTATTTCAGGTGTTTTTTAAATAGTGTTATCATTTTAAGGTTTTATAAAGTTTGATTAAAGAATAGTATTTAGGTGTAGTAAATAATTTTTAGGGACTATGTCTAGTTATATTAAGTTCAAGTGATGCATTTTAATCTAACATCTTGTTTCTTCTCAGTCTGCAAGACTTGTATTGTCCAGCACTTTGAAGATAGCAATGATTGTCCAAGGTGTGGCAACCAGGTTCATGAGACAAACCCATTAGAAATGTTGAGGTATGTCAATACATTTTTAGTTCCTCTAACTTAAATAATTATATAAGCTCTTAATAATTTTTATTATGCATCATAATATTCGTTGGCACCTTGACTCAGTTAATGTAGGCTTTGATTTTCATTTTAAAGCATTTTATTTCAATTTATTTTATTAAGAAGAAATGAAAAATAAGGCTGTGCGTATTAAATATTTAAGAAATATATTTCAAAATTAAAAATTACAATTTTATCTCAGGATCTCAGGGTTACTTTAGTTGTAGTTATTTTCAATATTTTATTATTCTACACAGTATAGAATAGTATAGTATTCTACACAATATTTGTTGAGCTACATGGTAGTGGGAAGAGGGCAGACCTAATAGAGATACTAATCTTGGGACTTTTAATTTTTAAAAATTTATCGTATATTCTAAAAGTGTACAAACATTTATGTAAAACTGAAGAGAATTTTTTAAATGACTACCCTTTTCTTAATGGTATAATCATTATACCAAATAAATAGTAATAATATAAAGAAATGTAGTCATATCTTTTTAAAGTTAGAAGTGCTGTAATAAGATCCTAATCTGTTTGTACATGAGTGAGTGAGTGAGTGAAAGTTACTCAGTCCTGTCTGACTCTTTGCGACCCTGTGGACTACACAGCCCATGGAATTCTCCAGGCCAGAATACTGGAGTGGGTAGCCACTCGCTTCTCCAGAGAATCTTTTCAACCCAGGGATCGAACCCAGGTCTCCTGCATTGCAGGCTGATTCTTTACCCGCTGAGCCACAAGGGAAGTTCAAGAATACTGAAATGGATAGAATCCAAGCAGTCCATCCTAAAGGAAATCAGTCCTGAATGTTCATTGGAAAGACTGATGTTGAAGCTGAAACTCCAATACTTTTGCCACCTGATGCGAAGAGCTGACTCATTTGAAAAGACCCTGATGCTGGGAAAGATTGAAGGCAGGAGGAGAAGGGGATGACAGAGGATGAGATGGTTGGATGGCGTCACGGACTCAATGGACATGAGTTTGAGTAAACTCCAAAAGTACACACCGCAGTTGAGTAAACTCTGGTGATGGACAGAGAGGCCTGGTGTGCTGCAGTCCATGGGGTTGCAAAGAGTCAGACATGACTGAGTGATTGAACTGAACTGAGCCTATCCCTGCTCCAGTGGATCTTCCTGACCCAGGAATCGAACCGGGGTCTCCTGCATTGCAGGCAGATTCTTTACCAACTGAGCTATCAGGGAAGCCTCTGTTTGTACATAGTAAGAAGAAATTATGTTAGAGAATTGGCGAATGGGTATGTAGAAATTGAAGAAAAGTGAATAGTTACTCTAGGGAAAGAAAAAAGTTGAATAAGGGGATATCTTTAATCAGGGTGCACTGTGAATATTTATATAATCATAATCCTGTAAACATTCATTGTTAAACACAAAAATGACAGTAACACCACCAGGAAGAGGAGAGTTAGGAGAATGTATGTTGGGAGGACAGGGGCATGGCGGGATGATATCAGGAGAGCTAAAACCTTATCTGCCACAGAAGGAGGTGAGAAAAATCTAGACAGCAAAAAAGGAATGGCTTTGTTTTTTCTCTATCTATCTATAATATGTATAGAAATATGAAAGTAAATACTAATAGAAACAGCTTGGATTTGAAAGTGGTTGTACCTGGGGTTGTAGGAATCAGGAATAGGAAGGGTGGGGCAAGAAAATGTGATATTTTAATATAACATTTAAGGTTAAGGGGAAGTTTGATTTGTAAATTATGTGTTAATATATGTATTACATTGATAAAACAAATATTAAGAAGAGAAATAATACTTCTTTTAAATACTGAAACTTTCATATAGACTGTGAAAACTTTGTGAATGAGTTAGTATGTGTGTCCTGAAGAATAAGGTAACATTGGTTTGGCTGGAGAGTAGGACTAGGAAAAGAGTATTTGAGCCAGGATGAAGAGCATGAGGGAGAAAAACAGGTTGGAAAAGGCACGGCATCCTTAGGGATGACTGACTAAGCCAGTTGGCCAGAGAAGAGTGACAAGAGAGCGGCACCAGATACAATTTGTAGGTTGGACTCGTTATAAGAGCACTTTAAGCCAGGTGTTGGGAAGAAATTAGTTCTTGAGCAGGCAAGTAAAGATCAGATTGGTGCTTAAGGAAAATTCATCATGAACATGTCAAGGTCTGGCAGAATGTCACTGTGCTGTCCTCTAAGTAGGGTGGTAATTGAACAGAGGGATGGGAAGTGTGGAAAGACTGGGTGGGAGAAATACTGAGAAGGGGCCATCTGGGGCTTGATGAGTAAACCTGTAAAGAAGACAGACAGGTAGGTTAAGAAAACACTTGCATTTTGAGCCTGTTTGGGAGTGATATGGTATCATTTCTGCATTTAACTTTAAAAAAGAAAGATAGGTTTTCAGAGGTATTCTGTTGAAGGAGAAGACCAAGTCTTGACATAGATGAACAAACGGAGGGGCTCGAGATATTCGGCATCTGTTGGAAACGTGGAACTTGAGCTTCACAGAGAGAGGTGGGGGGTTTGGGGGTGTGTGTGTGTGTGATCTGCCTGTATGTTAGTTTTGAAGTCACAAAAGTGGATGAGATCCTCAGGGAAGGAAGTATGTAGAAAAGGTCAGAGAGTACAGAGAGCAGAGCAAAGAAGAATACTCAGAGGCAGAAGTAGCTGAAAAAAGAAGAATATCTAGGAAACAAAGAAAGTCGATAGGAAAAAAGAAAAATCGAGAAAGGAAGTTTTCAAAGAGGCATCGCTAGGCAGCATTGATAAACTGCTGCAGACATGAGGAGAAAAATGACTTTAAAGGTAATTAAAAAGTTTAAAATTATAATTCTAAAATTTCTTTTAAAATCTATTTAATGATGGAAGTTATGGATGATTTGGGAAGGTCTGTCAAGTAAGAGAAGCAAAAAATACATGACAGAAATAATGTTGGTTATGCTTTCAAAGTTTTCCAGTTGGAAGAAGGGGTTGAGAATCTGCTAACAGCTTGAGAAGACGATTGGTTAAGCCAGGATTTGGGGGTTTTCTAGATGTGGGAAAAGTGTCCATGTTTATTGTCAGAGAAGAGTACTGCAGTTGAGCAGGAGGAAGGAGATGAGAGGAAAGGATGCTGTAGGAGCAGGACGGCAAGATGAGGAAATGAAAGTCATGGAAAGAGGAGTTATGCTCAGATACAGGAGGGAAAGGAGATAAAAACAATATCAAGATAGTGCTAGGGGTTTTTTTGGCCATACTGATGTTTGATTTGGTATGCGGGATCTTACTTCCCCAACCAGGGATTGAAGGTGCACCCCCTACAGTGGAAGGATGGAGTCTTAACCACTGGACCACAAGGGAAGTCCCCAATATTATGTCTTTTATCTAGGAAAAAATGGTCTCAATTTCGCAGAATGAAGATTTTCTTTCATAGGAATGGAGATTTTCTTTCTCTACCAGAGTTGTCATAGAGATATTGAAAGTGGCTGGATCAGCTATTGGTGTATAATAGACCACACCTAAATTTCATGCTGAAAACGAGACTAAAAGCATTTTTGATTCCTCACAGTTCTGTGTGGTTCGCAGATCCCGGTGGGCCTGCTGGTCTTGGCTGGGCCCACTTAGGCGACTGCAGTCAGAGACTGGTGGGTCACTGCTCTGCTGATCCTGGCTGGATTCTGTCCTGTTGGTTGGGCTGCCCGGGAACTGGTCTGAGATGGCCTTACCAAGGCAGCTTGGCTCTCTAGGACATGGTGTCTCATCCTCCAGACTTGTTCTTATGGTGGCAGGGTTCCAAGAAAGTACACCAAAGCACATGATATGCCTCATAAGGCATAAGGCTTGGGCTCAGAGCTCAGCATGTCACTTGTGCCACATTCTTTGGCCTGAGCATGTTTAAAGGCTAGCCCATATTCTCAGGGTGGAGGAAAAAACTCCCTCCCTTAATCACAGTCCTGTTCAGAGTGGGTAGATTATAGAGTGAACTGGAGACAAGATCATTTTTATAATCTGTCTGCTACTGGGACAGGCTGGAAATAAATGTGTTCTACCTACAGAGTAGTTGGGTGTGGTGCTTGTGCTAAAACCATATGTTCTGTATTTTGTAATATATGTGAGATGCAAATCTTAAACAGTTTACATACTGGATTTTAATGTCTTTATTGTTAGTATATTCTCTTTTTTCCTCTTTGGAAGGTTGGATAACACACTAGAGGAAATTATATTTAAGTTGGTTCCTGGACTACGAGAACGTAAGTTACTCTTTGAATTCTTGAAGGTTGTTTGTGTTTTGTAAGATTACCATTTCTGTTAAAGATTTTGTGATTGTTTCTATTATTTTTATACTGTTTTTCTTTTAAATTAGAAGAACTTGAGCGTGAATCTGAATTTTGGAAGAAAAATAAGCCTCAAGAAAATGGACAAGGTGACTTATTTACTTTTATCTGTTGGAATTTCTTAGCTTTTTGTAGCTGTGGTGAGCTAATCTCTCTCTCCAAGCTCAAATTTCTTCTGTACAATATTGTGTACCTCTTTATATTATGAACTTTTCTCTGATTATGAACTTTTAATATAGAATCATGAGATTTTGTGTAAATGCATGTAAAATCTGGATCGGTCTAATTGAAGGTAATTGGAAATAGAGGAAACTGGGAAGAGAAAAAGGAGATAAAACAGAAAAGTGACCACTGTTTATAGCAGTATTAACTAAAGAGCTACAGGAAATTGAAGAAATGGCCATAGCCTGCAACTGAACAGTGAGGGGTTTATGGTTGTATTTATGTTGTATATTTAATAGGAGAAGGGACTTGAATGTAGCTGAAAGCCAGATCAGAGGATCTTGCTATGCTCTGATAATCTAGAATTAACTTTTCGTAGGTAGAGTTCCAATAATACAAATTTATATATTCTGAGATTTGAAAAATATTTCTAGGTACTTGTGGGAACTTTCCCCATCACCTATGTTAAGTGTTCAAATTTGCCTTTTAGGTCCCAGGAGATTCAGCAGTGAGTAATTTTTAATAATTAAGGAAAGTGGCAGACATTACTGGATAGAGAAGAGGCTTTAGTATGTATATAATTCACAGGAAAGAAAATACAACATATCTGAAATTATAAGGAAGAAGAGGCTTTAGTATGTATATAATTCACAGGAAAGAAAATACAACATATCTGAAATTATAAGGAAGAAGTGTCCTTTGGTCATTTAACATGAGATTTGTTTCAGGATGGCCTGAATACTACTGAAATTTTTCAAGGATGTATGTTTTTATAGGCTCATTTTTCTATAGAACTCAGTCTTCCAGCCCTAGTTTTTACATAAGATTCATAGGATTGTCAATTACATACAAATCATTGAAGTGGCTTTCTCTTTTCATATGAAAAATGAGGATCAGAGTTTTTTTTTTAGTTCAGCTTAACTGTGCAGGACTGGCTTCCTATAGCAGGGGAAGTTTGAGAATAATTTTGAATGATTGGAGTAAGGTAGCAAGGGATTATTTTTAATCTATAGTTAAACACTGAAACGGGCAAAGAAGCCAAGCCTGGCAAAAAATGACTTAATTAAAGGCTTATTTTACCCAGGTGTAAACTGCAATTTATACAGTAGTGCCATAGTAAAAAATATAGGTAAAATTGACTGAATGTTCCAGTTTTTAACTACATTTTCAAGACAACAGGAGCCAGGGCTTGTCATCAGCTGTGTGGTCAGGTTAGTCCAGGACTGTGTCTTACAGATTGACTAGTGAAGGACTGCAGCCTGAGTTGTGTTTCTCTCCTTTTCCCCCATATTTCTGTCTTTTTAAAATAGTTTTATCATATTAGGTCTTTAGTTTGGGTGAAAGGTTGGGCCTTTTCTTGGAGCTGGAACTTGGTTCACAGAAGGCAGTTCCTTTCTAGGTGATCTCCGACCCCCGCCTCCCCTGTGCCCCACATCTGTAACGCTTTCACTACAGTCATTACGGGGGAGCTAACTCATCTTTTTTTTTAATCTAACTGGTCTGGTTTTTTTTTTTCCCGGGCTTTTCTATACTGTAATGCTTGACTGGCTCATTCTTTCAAGTTTCAGCTTATATTTTGTCTGGAAATCTCCCCTGAATCTTTGCTTCACCACAGAATTTGGGTTTATTTCCACCTCTGTTATATGTGCCCACTTGGCCTATCTTACCTCTTACATCAGAGTCTTTATTAACTTCTCCGTCTGTTTTCTTTACTTGCCTGTACTTCCTTTTATACCCTGACACCATGAGTGAGGATGGCCACACTCTAGTTTCAGTGTTGTTCCCTCAGGCTTAGTCTAACAGAGCTATAGGCACTCGATAAACAAGGGAATCATTAAATATATGTGCATTATATGTAGCCTGCTGGTATTTCATAGGTTAAATACATTTGATTATAATATGAAATATTCTCAGGTTTCTTTGATGGTGTTTTAATATGTTAGTTACATGCATGCTAAAAAAGCTAATTCATTCTACTTGTTATTTCACTAGCTGATTTTATATAAGAATATATAATAATTTGAAATTTTGAACTTAAATATTTTAGTTTTACTAAATATTTAGTTTACTTGGTTTTAAACTTTGAATAAATGTAGAATTTGGAAGTATTTTTTTCTTTGATCAAAAACACTTTATTATGTATATACAAACTTGAAATTCTAATTACATATGTTGACTGAACTTTTTAAGTGATGTAGTTTAAAAGAACATTTTATACATTTCTTTAAACATATGTTCAAAATTATTAATTTATCAAATATATATTGTTGTGTTGTTGTTTAGTCACTAAGTTGTGTCTGACTCTGTGAGCCCCTGGAATATAGCCCGCCAGGCTCCTCTGTCCATGGAATTTACAGGCAGGAATACTGGAGTGGGTTGCTATTTTCTTCTCCAGGGTGGAAATATTTTTATATTCTGTCAATTTCTAAGTGGTCTAATCACTAATGGCAGTCATTTTGTGACCAAATATAGTTAGTCCTAAATCTTTCATTTGGATGTCCCAGTGAGCCTAGAATTTGTAAGCTATGCTAATGAGCCACTTAATGGTTTTTTAAAAATATTTCCATTATTGAGTTGGTTGGAACATTTTAAAGGTACTAAAATTTTTGGTTATCCTTCATCAAGAACTGTTAAGAAAATGTTTTTTAAATTTTATTTTTGTTCTCATGGTTAGTGTATTGTTGCTTAACTATAAAATCAACTTTGAGTTCTATCTAACTTGGGTTTGTTTAAATTATACAGATGATACTTCAAAAGTTGACAAGCCTAAGGTAGATGAAGAAGGTGATGAAAATCAAGATGATAAAGACTATCACAGAAGTGACCCACAAATTGCTATATGTCTAGATTGTTTACGAAATAATGGACAATCAGGGGACAATGTAGTAAAGGTGAGTGGACAACTACTTTTTTTTTTAATAATCTTTTATAACTTGTTGATAAATTTTCCTAGTGTCTCAGAATGTTTGCTTTCAACGTTTTCATGAACGTAAACGAATAGAACGTCACTTTCTGATACTCCCTTGCCTGCAAGTTGCCAAGCAGTTGCTTACTTCAGGCTCCTTCCTGTTTTCTAACCCTCATGACTGAACCGTCCTGGGTCAATGCCACCACCTAGTGGCCAATGTGGAGAATCACACCTGTATCTCTCCTTCCATCTCCTTTTATACCTTTGTTGGGAGTTCACCTACATACACTGTTTTCCCTTTTTAAGTATGGTCACCAACTCAGACTCGGGTCATTTCATGACACACAGCATCTTCAACGCTTTTATTCATCCTCTTTTAGTTTTTTCTTTTGTTTCTCTATTTTTATTTGCAACTCAAAAAGCTATCCACGTCATGGCTAATACATTTTATGAACAATATAGTTGGTTTAGATGGATGTTATAAAGTACCTGTGAACTTTTCCTTAACTTCCTCTGTGTGATCTGTAAGCCAGTGAGTTGAATTCCTCAATGCTGATTAAGTTTTCCCAGCATCTTGCAAAAAGAAATAGCATTAGCATAGTGATTCAGTGAATATTATTGACTATATGGACATGAGCAAAGATGTAAATAGTAAGTTTTTTCACTCAGGGATCTTTGGTTAGGTCTTACTCATACAAACAGTTATAATAAAGTAAGATAATAGATTTAGTTAAGAGAGATTGGCTGGACAAGACATGTAAAAGAGTACAGCAGTAGTTAGAGAAGTGGCCTCCGTTCCTGTTTATCCTGCAAGGCCTCTCTGTTGGCATCTCATGCTCTGCTGCAGCACCCTTTCCTGTTTGTCAGCCTTCTTTGCATAAGAATTTTTAATGATCTTACACTTCCTTATTCTCAGTCATTTCTGTAATCCTCTTTGGGGGAGGTTCTTCCTAATGGAGATGACCATCCTTTAGCTCGCTAATATATACAATTATTATCTTGTAGTGAAAATTGAGTCAGTCAGAAAGTGGAGTATCTCTTCATAAATAAATGAGAAGTCTACTTCTCTGCAGGATTTCTAGTATGAAAGTTCTAAATCATTGGATTTCAGATTCATCTGAAAAATTAACTACCCCCTGCCTTGATACTGTCTGGCATCTTTGACACCTCACCATTCCAATTGAGCTTTTACCTTTTCACTCTTTCCTTTGTAGACTTTTCTTCATTCTTGTGCCTTCATTCTTAAAACAACTTTCACAGCTTATCTGACTTGTACTCTGCTTTCCTGATTCTCACCTTTTCTCTCTGGCCACTCCTATACTGTCTCTACTGACTTGACTTCTTCCTGTCTTCTGCTAGATATATGTGAGTATAGGCTAATATCTAGCCCCCAACTAAGTTATTCTTTCTCTGTAGTCATCCTAGGAGGTCACTTCCATTTTTTGTGACTTCCAACTATGCAAAGAAATGTTTAAATCCCCCTTTCCACACCTGTCATCACTCCCAAGTTGAAGTATTATATCTCTTAACTACTTTTAGGATCATAACTAGGAGTTTCACTAATACATAAAACTTCACCTATTTAAAGACAAATTCACTATACTGTATTTTCACCTAACTTTATTCCAAACATGCAGTTTCCCTTACCACTACCATCTTTTAACCAATCATAGAAATTCAAATTCTTAAGACATTTTTGACCTCCTCTCCCTTCAACCAGTCATAAGTCCTGCAAAATTTCCCTCAGTCTACTAAGGGCTGCTCACATTATATTTAGATTTTTTAAAGTAGTCTGAAGTGTTTCCTGTATTCTTGATTTCTTTTATTATCCAGGGCTGAGGCTGCAGCCTGAGTGTATACAAGCAGTTATAGCCACTATCAGGGTCAAGTAGTAAGTATTTTAGGTTCTGTGGGCTATATGGGCTTTGTTGCATATAACTACTCAGCTGACTTATTTTAGCACTAAAGCAGCCATAGATGCTAGTAAGCAAACTGCCCTGCCTGTGTTCCAGTTAAACGTCCCTTATGAGAATAGATGGACAGCTGAATTTGGCTTGAGGGCCATGGCCATAGTTCGCCACCTTCTAGAATCAAGTCTTGACTCCTCGTGTTAGCATTCAAGGTCTTTCATTAAAACCCCTATGTTTGTAAGTTTATTTTCCATAATTCCTGGCAGTGAATCATCAAAATATGATTATTGTCATTTATCTGTGAGCACTAACATAAATTTTGGCACCCATGTATCTGACAAAGAATTTGCATCCAGAGTATATAAAGGTTTATATTAAGAATATTTAAAACCCCTAAGACTTTGAACAATCCTTCCATTTGGGCATGTTATTCCCTCTTCTCACCACTGTCCAAGACTTCTGTCAAGATTGAAAGGACTTCTATATTTTGTGATTTTTTTTTTCCCCTCCCACCTAGGTGAATCCCTCCTGAGATTGACTTGTATTTATTCCTCAATTAGGGCTTACTTTGCTATTTATTAAATTAGTATTTGTGTTCTAAAGGTACCAGGTACTAATACTGTCTTTTATCTTTTTTTGTATGTGTCTTATCCTTGAGACTGGATTACATATTACATAAAGGCATAAAAATTATTCCTAGGTTCCTTTATAGCCTTCTCAACCATCTCATTCCTCTGTAGTAGGATGAGATTCTCAAATGTGGTAGAGTAGTTAATGTGTTGTTTATATGGTATACCTACTGCGTTCAGACGTCGAAGTCAGGAGCAAAAACGCAGTGAAACTATTAGAATAAGGAGCTCCAAAAATTTGCTCCTGCATAAAATCAGTGAAAAAGCTTGAAAAAGTTTTCATAATTGACTTTTTAAGAAATCTGATAGTTAACCAAAGGCCAAAACCCTTGCAGAAACCCATGGAGCAAGAAAAAATGGCTGACTCTTGGTAAGAAGAATTTTAACTTGCCTTAGTCCCATCCTCTACTCTCAGCTCTGAAACAGCCTTGTAAAAATCACAGCCCACTATCCTACTGCAGCTTCTCAAGCACCAAAAGGACAGAAGGGAGGTAGATCTCTTTCAAAGCCTAATTGCCAAATAATTATAATTTGTCTGCTGGATCCTAGAATACTGTACTTAAAATGTTGTCTATATTAGACCTGACTTGAAGCTTGCCTAGTGGATAAAACCTTCTCCATGGACTAGGGAGGAGCAGGAGGAGGGAAGTAAATACAAATAAATGTTGTTGTAACTGCGTGACTGCCTGAAGTATAAATAACATTTGGGGCAAAAAGTAGACTTAACCAAAAAGCTTAAAAGGAAAAACTAGAAAATGAGATGTCTACAGATAATATATAGCAGCTTCGAGAAGCTCAAAAATATTCATAGGAATCTAGAAGGACACGTATATACACAGGATTGTGTAGATGCTGAGAAAAGACATTAATAGGCCCTAAACTCTCACCTTGGGCTGACATTGAGGTTCTGCACAAGCCAGAAGTGAAGACCAAGGTAGAGTTGTCAACAGCTTGGTTAAGTGTTAGAGGTGTGCCCAAAACTCATACAGAGTCCTTCAGCAAAGACTGGGAAACTGACTGGTTCCAAGGAAATCTCTGTTCAGTTGTTAGCTGACCAATAGGTAGAAACTTCAGTGACCACATACATGCTGTAAAGAATACAGACTTTGCAGAATTAGTTTTGAAAAGTCATTAAATAATGAGAAACAAGGAAAAGCCACAACAGGAATCCCTGAGGAGAAGGCAGGAATTTGATTTCCAGTGTTACCACAGTAAAATGTTCAGTTTTCAACAAAAAATTGTGAGATAAAATGGACACAAAGTATAGCCCATATATAGGAAAGGAGTAAATCTGATATAAGTATAACATTTCTATGGAGAGAATGCATAATTATTATAGTTTTATTTTCAAAGTACTTACACATCAAATATTAAATAATCCAAACTGGAATTTTGTTAGCAATTGATGTCAGACCTTATTGGATTAAAAATTCCAAAAACAAGCTTTTGCCTAGTTTTAAAACCTTAACTCTTCTGAGATCTCTATACTTACTAGTAATTTTGAAAAGATTATGAGTGGTGACACCAGGTCATTTCTACAGGTTCTTTTATCATTAGACTTCCCTGCAGATGAAAATACACTTAAAGGGTCTTCTAGTACCCTCACATTATTCTCTGACTTAACTGGGACCTATGAAACATGCTAACAAGTCTGCATAAGCTGTTCAGAGCTGTTTAGAAACCTTGATGAGGCCGAGATGATGTGAGCAGACAACAGGATGTCCATGTGCGTTGTCTGGCACTTTTGTTTTCACGCTGTCTAGAACATCAGTCTTCTCATTCAAGATGGGTCAAGTGCCTTTTGATTTAGATGTGACTTTTAACTTCTGTTTTCTTCTTAATGGATACTTTACCATCTGAGTTGTGATCAGGTGTTATTTGTAAATAGATTAGTTTCTGTTGGTCTTTGCTTGGAAATATATTTTGCTAGGAATATATTTTGACTGGATAGTTCCACTTTCTGACTTTGTGAATTAAGGAACGTTTCCAAGTTGTTGACCTAATTTCCTAGCATAAGTAGTAACAACTTATACTTTTAAAAGATTCAATTGCTGGGTTTTATTTTTGTTTTAATATTGATAACTTAAGATTTGGGGATGTAATTTTCTTTCACAAATTGGTTCATGTTTATCATGTCTATAGCCTCATTTGTGATGGTCATTCTAGATTGGTTCTTATATTTTATTGATGTTTAAGCTTAATGAGTGGATTAGTACTGCTAAGGAAATGAGAAAATCAAGGCATAGTAAAATATTTTCATTAATAATTATTATTTCCTTTAGGGTTTAATGAAGAAATTCATTCGGTGTTCTACACGTGTAACTGTGGGAACTATTAAAAAATTTCTAAGTTTAAAACTAAAACTTCCAAGTTCTTATGAGGTAAGTTAATAATCTAATCTTGATTATTTTGATAATTCTAATCTGAAGGAGAATTCTAACAAAAGAAAGTAAAAATTAAGAATACATTTAATTTTGTGGAAACTTTGGTTATTTTCATGTTAAAAATTTAATTTTGGGATGTAATATTCTATTTGTGTAATCTGTATTTTTGAATTTAATGTCCCGACTAGAACATGATACTTAACAAATTTAACATTTTATAATTAGAGGAGATATTTACCATTAAGTATTCTTAAATATCCCAGCTAAAATGGATACTTTTTTTTTATGCCTGCATGCTTTATGGTATGTTCTTTTTTTCAGTCTGAGACCTTTTCAGTCCATTTTAACATTCTTTATAGACTTTTTTTTCCAGAATGTAAAACATTGTTGTTTTACGAAAAGGGATTTTGTAATTGATATTCATTTAGTTCTGCAGTATGCAAAAGTGATATTGTTTAGCCCTAGGTAACACCAGCATACTATGTCTACATAAATGTAGCATACTAGTTTCTTTACAGGAGAGGTGAGTTGCCTTGATGTTGAACACAGCACAGCTTGTAATGTGTGCAGTGTTTCAAGAATGTTTATCATCCTAGGGCTATGGCTGTAACATAATGAGGGAACGTGACTACCATTTCTCACGCATGCAAATGGCAGTCTTAACAACTTGTATTAATTTCCTCTTCCTCCCTTCTGAGTTCCACTAGTAGCACCTAAAAAACCTTTAAGACCAAGGCTAGATTCCTATATAAACAAAGGCATCAAAGGCAACATAGTTTTTTCAGTCTTATATACAATAGCATTCACATGAACAATCATAGCAGAAATAAAATAATACCTGGCAACGCCTGTGTTTAAATCTTAAGTCTGTATTTTGAGGAAACCTCTGAACCTGAACTTATTTTAAAATGTCTTACAAATGACTAATTTATGGATTAAGGATTAATTCTTACATGTTTGGTCCTCCAAATATAAAAAAAATTTCCAGAGACAGCAGCTTTTACATTGGGGAAAAAAAATGTGAACATTAATCAAAGCTATATGTACTTGACAAAAAGTAAAAGATAAAAACAACTTATAACCACAGTGAAATAGAAAATGAAACTTATAATTTGGCTTTGCTCTTTATTCTCTTCTTGCGAAATACCACTTGCAGTTCTATTTCCTTACTGTCAGGTGTGGCTCACTGAGTTATTTTCTAACTCTCAGGGAAGTTATTAGAGCTGAGAGAATTGTTGCTATCCTGCAGTCCTGTTGCTGGCCCTTATTACTGCATTTCTTTATAGAACAGGATAGAAGGGGAAGAGACCGACTCCACAGACAGCTTTTTTTCTATCCCAATGCTAAGAACTTTCTGTATGGTTTTACTAGTATTCCGCCCCCGCCCTTATTTTGCTGCCCTACAAGTAGGCCAGTAATTTATTGAAATACCTAACAGCTGCAGCTTCTATAACAGCATTGGTAATTCGGGCAGGATGGTTTGTTTGGTTTTTAAATGACAATAATAGGAACAGTGTACCTGATTGTAATTGCATCCTAAGTAAACCCCTTTACCTCTTTGCTTATGCATTTTACAGTCAAGATAAAGAAAGTAGAATTCTCTGCTTTCAGTTCAGTTCAGTCGCTCAGTCGTGTCCGACTTTGCGACCCCATGAATCGCAGCACACCAAGACCTCCCTGTCCATCTCCAGCTCCCGGAGCTTACTCAAACTCATGTCCATTGAGCCGGTGATGCCATCCAGCCACCTCATCCTCTGTCATCCCCTTCTCCTCCTGCCCCCAATCCCTCCCAGCATTATCTGCTTTGTTCTTTTAAAAACAAAGTGGTTTCTGGAAAACATTATGCAGGTCCATTTATGTCACCATAAGTCATCAAAAAATCAATATAATTTAGCATCTATCTAGTACAATTGGAATTACACTCATTTTATACATAAAGTTCAAAACTCTATTCTCTGTCTAGCCAGACAAGAATTACTTAAAACCCTTAAAAAGTTCCTTTGGGTTTTTCTGTAAGATGTTACGGAAAAACCTGAATGAACTTCTTTAGCCAACCCAATATTATGCAAGTCACAAACCAAGCAAAGCAGAAACGGAGAGCCCTGGGAGATTCAGGCCTGTGGTCTGCTCCCTACTGTTCTGTCAACTTGAATGCCTGGAAGGCCCCCCAAATCACATATCCACAGCCATTCATTTACCCTCTGCAGATGCAAACTAATGAAAGCGGCTCCTTCAAATGAGAGATGAATTCATAAGGTAAATAAATGTGACAGGAGGAACCGTGAGGTTTCCAGCTTGTTCTCATTCAGTAAGAGGCAATCACAGAAATATGTCTGAAACCTCAGAGACTGCACAGTGACTAAGAAACTTCACACTGCATTTCCAAATTATGTGCTGAACTTGACATAGAGGTGTGTGGGACAAGACAGACAGTGGTTCATGTTACTTACGTATGAATTGTTAATACCTACAAGGTAAGCCAGTGCTTTTAATAGAAAGATCCAGTGTTCTTTTCAAATAATGGATACTACTTCTATTTTGATATGACTATTTGAATCTTATTTGAACCTTGAAAAAAATGTGTAAAACTCTTATGAATTGAGAGTTACTTATGTTAATAGATCTGTAACTGTTCTTTTTAAAGTTGGATGTGCTGTGCAATGGTGAAATTATGGGGAAGGATCACACTATGGAGTTCATCTACATGACACGATGGCGACTAAGAGGCGAAAACGTAAATCGCTTTTATATTTACCTATGTGTGTAATTAGTTTATCATTGTGTTAATCAAATTTAACAGTTACTGAGACACTTTAAAAAAAAAATGAGGGAAAGAGAAGAAACTGGTTCCTCAGTGACTGCATGATAACTGATCCCAAGTATAAGACCAAGGTCCGTGTTAAATGTGGTTTTGTTATGTTTAAGGTGAGTTTAAAACACTGATCTGAGTATGTTCAGAACTCTACTTAGAGTCGACTAGATGGTACTTAAATTTTTTTTAAACCCCAATAAAATATGGAAACTTCTAAGTTCTGCCCTGACTAGTATATTTAATGGTTAAGATATTTTTGTTTGTGCTAGAGAGGACAGGTAGGGTAGAATCTAGATACTCTTTTTTTTCAGGTACCTCCTTTACATTGAAAATATAAGATTGGACTGAAGGGTAAGTGAGTTTGCAGAGGTTTCTGATACCAGATTTAGATTATTGTGCCTGAGGCCCCAGGAAATGTGAGAGAAATGATTAAAAGAAACCTAAGAACATTTATTTTAAAACCCCAAAGGAGTTGGTATTTTGAACTGTATCTTTGATTGGGGTTAATTTGAACGTTCCAGTGTATCTTTACCTGAGTTATATGTAACGTCGATACTAGGGAAATCTTAAGGGGTAGGGATTGCAAGGCTAATTTGTAGCAGTAAGAAATACAGTAGTAATTGTAAAAACACAAAATTAAGAACTGTAGCCTCACACAATTACAGTGGTTCAAAAATATACCTATATTGAATGTAAACATTTGTGGAACTGTTTTTTCCCCAGAAGAACTGTCTTGATATGACACAATAATAAATGAAACATGTAACTTCTTAAGTAGAACTTTTTTCAGTTTGCATCCCATTGGGATGGTGATGCCTGCCTTGTGAGGCTAAGTTCTCATGACCAAGATGAATAAATTATATTCTAGTCCTGCCACCAACTGGTTGTGTGCCTTGAGGAACTCATGAAACCTCTCTAGGGCTCCTTTTTATTTTTTTTCCTAATTGTCTTTGTATTTGGTAAATTAATATTTGCCTTTCTATGACATTTTATATATTTTTAAATGGTTGTGTATATATATATCACCCTCATTAATTCTTTCTAACCAAAATTTTCCAGGGACCCAGTGCAGATTGCAAGGGTCGTCAATTCTCTCTTGACCAGCCCTCCTGGGGCCTAAATATTGTGATACTACACGTAATAGTAATACCATATTGGTATAATTTTAGCTCTCTTTGATCACGGGACACTTCAGTATGTGTGAGCACTTGAAACCATCGTTATAAATAGGTTTGCCTTCAGGTTAGAGAGATGTAACTGGTCGTCCATGGCAGGGCCTCCTCTGGCACTCACTTGTCCTTCTCGAGGTCCCTTCCCAAAGGTCACCCACACTGCCAGTTATTCTAATGGCAGAGCTCAAAAGAGCCAGTTCACAGAAATTGTCATTAATGAAGTGTATTCAGTGTTTACTACAAGTATGCTTCTGATTACACATTTCCGAATAGTTTAAATCCCCTGTTTGTGTAAGGCATATTTTATTAAAAATTTGTTCCAAACAATGGTTTTAGCATCTTAAGATTTTTATTCAGGTTAAAAGCTAAATCAACAAATAGAAACAAAAACCACCCTTAATATCTGGCGCAGCAGTAAGTAGCCCGTTTCATTTTTTTAACATGACAACTCTGTTTTTTGTTTGTTCTCCTCTAAACCCGTTTCTCCCTCTGCTTCACAGTCTCAGCAGCTGCAAGATTTTCATTTTTCTGGTTTTTCAGATCAAAATCCCTGAAGTCTGTCCTGATTAGTTCCTCCGTCCTTAGCAAATTCTTTGAACTCTGCCATCAAAATACAATAATCAAAATCCAGTTGCATCTTATCAGGTCCTCATTCTGGTTCAGGCCACCATCACTCTTCTCCAGACTTTCTGTAAAAGTATCTTACCTGGGCTGCAGGCCTCCTCTGGCTACCGCCCATGCCTCCTTCCATCTTCACCTACTGCTAAGTCATTCAGTCGTGTCCGACTCTGTGCGACCCCATAGACCGCAGCCCGCCAGGCTCCCACGTCCCTGGGATTCTCCAGGCAAGAATACTGGAGTGGGGTGCCATTGCCTTCTCCAATGCGTGAAAGTGAAGTTGCTCAGTCATGTCTGACTCTTAGCGACCCCACGGACTGCAGCCTACCAGGCTCCTCCGTCCATGGGATTTTCCAGGCAAGAGTACTGGATTGGGGTGCCATTGCCTTCTCCATCTTCCCCTAGCAAGCAGCAAATTAGAACATGTTTCCATGCTCTAAATTCTCCAGTAACATCTAATGGCATTTAGATACAAGCTGAAGCCCTTGCAAGGGCCTGTACAGGGCGGGTCCTACCCAGGTTTTCGTGTCTTCATCTCGCCTTTTGCTCCTGCCCTCTGGCCCAGTGGCCTCGATGTTTTGTTTCCTCTGGTGTGCCAGGCTTGCCCTTGCATCCCCATGTGTCTGCCTCCCTTGTTCCCTTCACCCCTTCACTCAGAGAACTGTGCTTCTGCGTCACCTTTTCAGCAGTCCCAGTCTGACACGTAATCCCCTTCTTTGCCTCATTTATTGTTTGTTCCCGAGTCAGCTGTACTCTGAGGGCAGGGTGATTATTTGTTCACTCTGAGTCTCCAGCACCTAAAGGAGTGCCTCGTACAGATACTCAATATTTGTTTGAAGAGTAAACTGAATGAAAGCCTTTTATAAGGTAATATGCCGATACAGCCTAAAGGTCATTTTGTTCTGTTTCCCATTCGTTTTCTGTTCATTTTTAAATTTTGCTCATGTTCCAATTAATTACAAGGTATTATAATTGATAAATTCTGACAGTGGGGTGAAGGTACAAATTAGCAATAAAACAATTTTTTCTTGATTAAGCCCCTTCCAGCATATTTATTGCAGTCACGTCGCTTCCCATCTCTGCCCTTAACTGCCAGCAAGACACCAGATTGTCTGAAAAGCTCGCATTACTCTACCTTCTGGCATTGCTAACTGGCTCTGTCTTGGGCTGGGATTGGTGTTATTTCCTAAACTAATGACCAATTTATGGTTCTTTCACTTCTTGTACTTCTTTCTATTAAACATTTTAATCTACCCAGGATTTGTTCATTTACACACAAACCTACAGTGATGCTAAGACTCTCGATTTATTCTAAGAAATTTTTTTGGCAGAAATAAAATTTATTGAATGATTCACAATTTGCGCCTCATTGTTTCGAGATGTCACCATTGTCTTTGCATATGTATCTAGACATATGTGTACACATGCAGATGTGATATCCATTTATGTTTCTGGACATTGTTTTGTCCTTCTGAGCAGGACTTATCCTACACCAGCATTTCATGTTATAGCTTTTATAAAAATCTGACCACATGACATCTCTACCTAAAACTCTTCAGCTGTCCATTTTCTTTGGGATATATTTAAACAAAGTTCCAATTAACTTATAAGGAAACTAGTTTGGCCTTCTATGTTACTGTATGATGTCTATCAGTATTTGCTAGGTCAAAGCTCTTTATCATTATTTTCTTAGTTGTATTGGCTCGTCTTCCCCATGTATCTAGGTGAGCTTGAGAATGGGATTGACTGGCAGAGCATTAAACTTCCAGGCTGGCTGGGCTGGCGTTTGTGGTCTTGTTCAGTTTGGTGCTGTGGGGTGCTCTCTAAAGCTCTACACTCCCCTCCTGTCTGAGCAAAGTCTGTGGTTTTCTTCCTGTTTCACGTTGGACACCACCTCTGACCTTCTGGGTCTTTGGCAAGGTGACCCCATATTCACATCACCTCTTCCTCGTGTCCTCTTGCTAGACTCCTGGGAGAATCTCTGGCAGTCAATTTGCCTCCACTCCTCAAGAGCAGGACATCTCTGTCAGTACCACACAGCATCTGGGCCACTCCCCACCTTTATCCTGGGGCTGGTCCACTTCAGGCTCAGCCTGTTTACTGTCCTCTCTGCTCTTTCTGGATCCTTGTCTTCATCATGTTGCATTTTTGAAAGACTTTTATCTTTAGGAATTGCATATCTGGTCAGACTTAGCTAAGTCCTAGAAATTTTTCAGTTCATAACAATATTTGTGCCTCAAGATCAGTGTTCCTCTTTTGCTTATTAGTGGGAGAAAATGGACCTTTTTTAAAAAACTGCTGCTTCTCAAACTTGTATGCAAATCACAAAACATCTGGGGATCTTGGTAAGATACAGATTCTGATTCAGTACTTCCAGAGTGCAGACAAAAATTCTGCGTCTCTAAAAGCTCCCAGGGGAGGCCTGTGCAGCTCCTCTCTGGGCCATCCTTTCAGAAGCGCGTCCCACTTCCGACACCTCTTTCAGACTTCCTGGTGGCTCAGACAGCAGAAAATCTACCTGTGATGTCGGAGATCCGGGTTCGGTCCCTGGGTGGGGAAGACCCCCTGGAGAAGGGACTGGCTACCCACTCCAGTACTCTTGCCTGGAGAATTCCATGGACAGAGGAGCCTGGTGGGCTACAGTCCATGGGATCACACAGAGTCAGACACAACTGAGAGCAACTAACACTTGAGTAATAAGATTTTAGGAGACATGATATATGACCATTGGTTTACTCTGTGGTTTCCACGTCTATACTAATATGTGTATTCTGCTTAAAATGTCCATGCAGTGTTTTCATCACATTTTTTAAAACATAAATGGGATCATATGTATTGTTGTGCAGCTTCTTTTTCTCATGTGCTGATATGCCTTGTGGAGAATCAGTAAATTTTAAACTAATTCTTTGTAACAATTTGTTAGTATTCCATTTGTGCAGCTATAGCATAATTTGATTAGTACTCATTTGGTGGACATTTTTCAAATTGACATTACAGACATGCTCTTTTCCAGTACATACATCTTTTTGTACATGTGGAAGCATATTCATTGGCTAAATTCCAGGTGTGGATTTACAGCAGAATGTGCATGTTTTAAATTTTGATAGATACTGATAAATTGTTCTCTAAAAAGGTTTTCACAGTTTATAATAATACCAATAATGTGTGAGTGCCCATCTTCTGACACCCTCACCAGCACTGCATATTTTCACTTTTGTGTTTCTTGTGTGAAGTTTCTCTCCAAATCCATTGCTGCTTTTTTTTCCGTTACGAAGTTTGTGTGTTTCTTACTGACTTCTGAGAGTTCCTTATGTGTCTGGATATTCATCTTCGTTATGCCTGTTGCAATTATTTCCTCCCAGTTGTATTGTGCTGCATGATTTGCCTTGGTTTTTTGATCCTGAAACTTGGAGTAATAATACCGATCTTAAAAATATTTTAGTAAGAACTAATGAAATATTATTTAGTAAGGTACTTAGCAGGGTGCCTGACATAATAAATATTGTATTATTAATAACTTACATATGTTTGCTTTCATTATTATTATAATTCTATACTCCTACACTTGGTCTCATGCCTGCGAGCTTACTCTTACTGTCTCTTCAGCCTCAGCTTTCCCCGTGAACTCATGTTCTTCCTGCTTCCCTTTCCTTGGGTAGGTTGAGTACCTACTCTCAGGACTCCCCCTTTCCCAGATAATCCTGGTTGCTTTTATGGCTGCCAGCAACCCCTGCCAGTCCCTACCTAAAGTTATTCCACCATGTTTGTCTTGCTGTGCTTTCTTGACATTACCAAGCTTTTTTAGGAGAAACAAACATCTAGCTTAACTGATATCAAATAGATTAATAAGAAAAAAATACCACTTAGTGAATCTTACCTCTTTCCACCCAACTCCTTCCTTGTTAAATGCTGTCTGGGACTTGTTTGCATAGTTAGGCAAAGCCCGATGGGCCAGAGGAGGGGAGGAAGGTTGTCAAGGAGAGCAATGCAGGGCGTCTCTTAACTGTTGATGAACCCTGTCCAGAAATTCAGAGACTAACTTCTAGAGGAAATAATGCTATCTATATTTTCATTTTGAAGAGTCATGCAATGTTGAATTCATATATGTAAAATTTTAAAGTGTATGTTTTTATATTTCATAGTTCCATTATAGTTCAAATATTTATGCTTAATAAGTGTTCAACATAATATTGAAAAACCAAGATTTGGCAATGACTTTTTAAATATGAACAGCTAGTTGCTCAGATGGTTAAAGCATCTGCCTGCATTGCAGGACACCCAGGTTCAATCCCTGGGTCAGGAAGATCCCCTGGAGGAGGAAATGGCAACCCACTCTCCAGTATCCTTGCCTGGAAAATCCCATGGACAGAAGAGCCTGATGAGCTACAGTCCATGGGGTGGCAAAGAGTCAGACACAACTGAGCGACTAACACACACACAAACTGTTAAAAGACAGTGGATTTAGAATTGAATCTATTCACTAGTTTAAAAACATATTCATTCATTGGTTCACTCATGAACCTTTTTTTGAGTGGCTGCTGTGTGCCAGTTCTGCCCCTTAGCTATTAAGATTGCAAATATGAATAAGATCAGACTCAGGGATCTCACGGTCAAATGCTATTAAATAGTTATGGAGACCAAGAGTCTAATGTGAGGAACGTAAAGGACCTCATCTTAAGCAGAAAATGGATCCCCTACAGGCTGAGACAAGCTCCCTGCCCCCTTGCAGAGCCCTGAGACTCTTAAACAGTGGTCTTAAACAGAAGAAGAGATCTAGGAGAGATTAATCACAGGAAAAGATGGAAGAAAGAAGGCATCTCTCCTGGATTGAGAAGGAAAGGGTTTTCTCATAAATTTAGTATTTGAAGAAGAGATGGATAAAATAGATCACCATTTTGGTAAATATTTGCAGAATGTTAGCAAAATTCATATTTAGAGACTAAAATTATTTCACGTTAAAATTTACCAGTCACTTAAGTTATTAGTCTTTTTCCAAAAACAACTGCCATATTTTGGAAAGTGTTTACTTAAAATTAATCATGTTGCCTCATGTTTGACATGAAAATATTTTAAATATGTATCCAGTTGTGGATGCCTCTTATCTGATGAGTTCATCTCCTCCGCAGTTTCGGTGTCTGAACTGCTCAGCTTCGCAAGTCTGCCCTCAGGATGGCCCTTTGTATCAGGTAAGAGGCACTCACGACTGTACATATGACCCTAATGACGCCTGCCCGCCGCAAAGGTGACCGCTTCTGCCCCAAACGCAAGGTCCCAAGACACGTCACCTGGCGAGACTCAGACTATCTGAGCTACAAAGCTTCATCTTTTCAACTTATGTCCCCAAAGTTTCCACTTATTTTAGTTCTCTTGAATTATATAATTTTACCAAACTAAAAATTAAGTTATAAATGTTAAAGCCATTATTTATGCATCCTTCAGTTTTAACAGCTACCAGCTTCAGCCTGCAAGAAATCTCTGCTCCATATTGAATCACTACTCTGTACTTAACACTTATTTGTGTGTGGGTTTTTTTTTTTCCATTGTTTATTTCCCCACAAGTGAAAGAAAAAAATGCCAGATTAGGAAAGGCTAAATAATAAATAACAGCAATAGCTAAATGCAGTTGTGAGCTTGCTTACTGGACCTGCCCTAAGGACTGTACTGAGTTACCTCTTAGCACAGAATGATAGTGAGTGGATTTAGTAATGCACTGAGAAAGTGAACATGCCTCTGAGGAAAGTTCATCTAATAAAACTGCATCTTAAAAATTTGGAAAACAGAAGAGACAAAGTGTGTAATATAGTAAGGATTACTGTTGAGGACAGAAATGATGTAGGATCACCCTTAATCCATGTTTTAGTCATAGTATTTATTAAAAATATAGATTTTTATTTAGTCTTTATCATTATTTTCTTGGAGCCAAGAAGGGAGAATTATAATTATATACAACCTTAACTAGGCAAGTTTACCTCTGATGTTTCTATTTTAGGGTTAGGACTAATAAATATATGTTAAGTATTGAAAGAACCATTTCAAATCAAAAGTGTTAAATTAGCAATTTATCTAGAATTTCCTTCAGTCTCATTGTCAGTTCTGTGATAGTGCAAATCCCCACACGTTAAAATGTGTGTTTCTTAGTACACGCTGGTTAAGTCCTGGGTGTGCCTGTGTTTGGTAATAGAGTAAGCAAATGTAGCAGCCATAAAGGCCAAGAGAAGATCACTTAGAGGAAAAAAGCAACCGTCCTTATCCTTATGTAATTGAGGGTGGGCGGCGAGTGAGTAATTGAACCGAACTGGTGAAATGTGTGTAGCTACTGTAGCTGATTTTAACTACACAGCTGATTTGGGGATGAATTGTGGTGTTCCTGGCCTTTGGTTATAACTTGTGCAAATGTGGCTTTTTGTTCTTATTCTCAGCACTGATGTCTGTTTGTTTCCTGAGAAATAAGGTATTCTTAAACTCTGATCTAAAGTTTTAGGAAACTAGAGTAAGACCAAGTTTTCAAAAATCCACACACGTTTCCTTTTTTTTCTGCAGCACTTCATTATGGAGTATAGTCTGGTCAGAAAGTTGAACTTGTAATTAATAGGATGCATCTTTAGCCAAAAATCAACTAGAAAATTTCAAGGAAAAAATTATCACTGTTTTATTATAAGAAAATACTATATGTATAGCTTTATATGATTAAATCTTTTAATTTTGTGAAAATTTGGTGAAATCGTTTTGTAGGAAAAATTCTAGTGAACAAAACATTCACCCAAGAAGAAAGAAAATGTAAATCACTAAGTTATGAAAGACATAGAACAATATTAAAGAATTACTTCTTCAAAGGCTACCTAAATATAAAACTACTTTGGTCACATTCTCTCAAATTTTCAGGGAATAGATCATTCCCATCCTAAATTGTTAATTTTAAGTAATTGAAAAAGATGGAATTTTACCAAATTCATTTTACAGATGTAACATAATCATGAAGGCAAAAACTGATAGAGAACCTCCAATTAGAACACACAAGTGTCAAGTCTCATTTTGAACATAACAAAGATGATAAATAATATACTAAGTGTACTAAAATAATATGCTAGAAGAAGAATAAACCAAGACCAAATAGTATTTTTATCAGACATTAAAGAATAGCTTAAAGCTGGGGGGAGCAATTATATATATTAAGTAAAATAAATGTCAGTAGATACTAAAAGGGCATTTGGTAAGATTCACATTTTTCCTACAAGCTTATTTTGAAAATTTTTCAAGACAAAGAAGTTGACATAACACAAAGAAATATCCTTAACTTTTAGATTTATCAGTTAACATTTTGCTACATTTTTTGCCCCTTCTTTCCCTTTCTTCCTCTTTTCCTCTCCTTATCTTATTAATCTTTTAATAAATATATCTCTTGTTTCTTTATGGAGCCATTTGAAATTAAATTGTACATATCATGACAGTTAACCATAAAGTACTTCAGCATATGTTCCCTAAGATTAAAGACATTCTCATATATAATCACAGTACATCATACAGAACAAATTTAAATATTATAGTGGTCAGTTCTTCCTATGATTATGAAGTTTAATATAATTTCAAACACATTTTTTTTTACCAGATTCTTGTTTAACTTGACAAAGTCAGTCATTCTCAAGTTCATCAGGAAATATAATTTGGCACTTTTGATCAGTCACATTTTTAAGTGAGTAATCCCAGGGCATATGCACGGCCACGTACTAAAATGTCTTTTAAAGCTGAAATAATTAAAATTGGGTACTAACTTAAACAGACACATGGATAAAAAGCAGAGCTCAGGAACTCACTGTAATATGTATGAATCTATAAAGAGTATTTCAAGTTAATGGCAGGTACCAAGCTTCATTAACAAATATTTACTGAGCACTTAATTATGCACTGGGCAATCTTGTAGGCCCTGGGAACACAGAAGTAAAAGTGAAAAAAATTTGTTTCCCTCATGGAGCCTATACTCTAATGATGGTAACAGATGAAAATCAAATGAATAAATCTTACTGTGTTAGAAGAAAAATTGAAGTAGATAAATAGAATATTTTAGATGAGATAGCCAAAAGAAGACCACTTTGAGGTGGCAGTTTTTGACCAAAAAGAAGTGGGAAAATAGCTGTGTGTCTCTCTAGGATAGAGCTTTTCAGGCTGAGGATGGACAGAGATCTAGAGGCAGCAAGGTCACGTCTGGTGGTTTGAAGGCTGCAAGGTGGCCAGGGGGCCTGGAGCAGAGACAGCAGCTGACCAGGGAATTAGGACATCTGGAGTGATGTTGGGGTGGGATGTGATCTTGTAGGGTTTGCTTTCAGTTAACTGTTCTGAGACTATTAGTGATGGGGGGGTGGCGGGGAATTCAGTCCATACCTCACATTATATATGTTTCTCATGGCTAAAATGGTGCACATTAAAAATGAGACCATTGAAGATCAAGAAGAAAGCATAGCTAAATAACTAATCTCAGAGTAAAGATGAACTTTCTCAATGTGTTTACATGCAAAAGGGAAAAAAAAAAACCAGACAAACCAAGTTGATTACTAATACTGAAAAATACATGACAGATGTCCCACACATTTTAAAAAGTACATGCAAAAATACCATAAATAAGGAATATTTGTATATATACAAATAAAAACCGAAAAAATTCCAACCAATGATGACCAAGCCGTTTTACTTCCCTCTTTTCCTTCATCCTAGTAGAATTGGTGATGAATTCTTCTACGCATGATAATGGATTTTTGAATGAGTGACTTACTTATTTGCAGAAAGTGGACAGATTTAACAGAGTCAGGAATGGAAAGCAAAGCTAGAGAGGTTATTGTAATGAGAGACAAGCTGTGGGATGAGTTGGGTAGGATGGGAAGAAGTCAGGTTAGGGTAGTAAGATTCTAGGTAGCAGTCTTTACGTCTGGCTGAACTTCAGAACATCCAGGGAGTTTTCTAAAATAGATTTTGGTGTCTACTCACAGATACTCTGATTCAGAGGGAACAGAATAAAGTGTAAAATAAAAACAAGTAAGCAGAATTTAACCAAAATAGATTTAGACCATAGAATCTCAGTCCACCCTTTTCATCTATAGGAAAGGAAACAGTTTTCTCACAGGATTTTTGCATTTACCTACTAGGAGACAAGGGGTAAACAAGCCAGTGGCCATCTCAGCCTTTCTTGGTTCCATAAAAGTATCTCCTGGAAATTTCATTTTAAAAAGGAGAGTCCACAGCTTTCAGAATAGGAAAAACCATTGGTTCTTCAGGCCCTTTCTGACCGTGATGTTTGAATTCTACATGATAAGGCAAAACAGAGGGCAAAAGACACAAAAGTGGTGGTGTGGCTTTTCCTGCAGAAAGCTGTCTCCTCTCCGGGGCTGCATGTGGTTACCTGCCCTTTGTGGGGCTAGCTGAATGATAGTCTGAACCACTCAATTTCATGATAGTCAAGTCCAAACATTTAATAGGATCAATTGTTGAAAGGAGGCGGTAACCTAAATGTTTCCTCTAACAATTAGTGACTTGTTTTTCAGCATTTTTTAAAGGACCATTAAATTTTAAATGCTACTAATAAAAAAGTATCAAACTTACTTAAAATGTGTGATTTGTAAACAGTGCCCCAGTTTCCTAGATTCATAGCACGTGTGTGTGTCAGTCGCTCAGTCACGTCAGACTCTTCGCAACCCCATGGACTATCGCCCACCAGGCTCCTCTGTCCATGGGATTCTCCAGGCAAGAATACTGGAGCAGGTAGCCATTCCCTTCTCCAGGGGATCTTCCCAGATCTCCCGCATTGCTGGCAGATTCTTCACCGTCCTAGCAGAAGGTCTGTTAATTGTGATTCAGTGGACTCGCACAGAGAACAGCTCTGATGGAGTCCGGCCTGCAGGCTGGCCTTGTACAGCGCCACAGGTGCATGAGCGAACGCCCCCCAGCAGTGAGAGCGTTCTGTCCTCACAAACCCTGCCTTGCCCTAAGTACTGACAGTAGTACTATTCACATATGCAACCACTACGACACCCACAGTCTTTCGAACTTGACCCTTGTTGCAAATTATGGAAAAGTTGACTGTCTCTAGAACATAATAGTTTAAAAATATAATGATAATTAGTCTTAATTGTCATAATCACTATTCCCAAGAACTATTGTAAACCATAACTGCACATTTTTTAAAGTCTTATGTATAATCTGTTTTGTTTTTATATCCACACAGTCTTACTCATCATCTGTTTTTATTTTATAGTCATACCCCATGGTATTGCAGTATCGACCAAGAATTGATTTCGGTTAGACCAGGGGCCTCGATCCCACTGAGTGAATCCTACACTATGTGTTTACTCATCGACAGATTGCACAGTGAAAGGCGTGTGGACTCGAGGGACACAGCCAGATTTTCAGCATGCGAATAAGGCCATTGTCTGTTTCTAAATTGTCAGTTGCATTTATGTTGTTTCTATTAAGAGCAAACCAAGTGCCATTCTGCTACTGAACCATCTGCATAAGGTATCTGTGCCGTCTCCCAGTGTACAATACAAGTCATGGTTGAAATCAGTAGGTGTGTGGCCATGACCTAGCCTTCTGAATATTTTGCTTGCCTGTTCCAAGATTGTCCCTAATGTTTGATTACACTAGTAATATGGCTCAATCTTTGTGGTGTTGCAGTTTTCACATACTTACTATTTGATTAATTCTTGTTTAAATAGAGTACTGTACAAGGAACTAATAATTATTATATCTTGAAATTATTTTGTATGGGAAATATATTTAGAGAAATGGCCTTTTGAGCCACTGTCCTGTTTGCGGTAAGCTTTTTGTGTGCAAAATAGTTCACTCTTGAGTGTGCAAGTCCTTTTGGGAAGAATTCCGATTGTTCTGTACATTAGAGCACATTATAACTGTAGGCATTTGGGGTCATCTGTCTGTGTAGTCTACCAGTCGCACAAGGAAGGCCTGTTCGCCTTCCAGAAAATGTACATGACTCCTTGGAGAGTGAAGTGAGATTCATAACCATTTGAAATGTTGGCAGCTGATCACATTCACTTCTAACTAAACCCATGTTTCAGTGAGGTTAATCTTTCATAATGCCTTATGATGAGTGGGTGCTGCTTCATGAGACGTCGTTGCCATTGCGTAGCCCACATTACTGTGTGCATCATGATACTGTGGTTCTTGACCTAACAAGTACATTGTTTCCCTCTTTCAGTTGGCCTTAGGTGTGTTTCAGTGTGGCATGCAGAAAGTTATGATGATTTTAAGTACTAGGGTTTTTAGAGCAGGTAACATTAGCTATTCTATGGATTTCAAAAATCTCAAAGCAATTGTAGATTAAAACTGTTAGTAACCTGTCACATTTCCAAACCATATGCATAAAATAGAACAAATACTGTGTCATAGATAAATATGCTAACCAGAATTAATGGTTTGAGGATATTTCATTTTAGATCCTGTAGTAATTAGTGGGAACTGGGATTATTGTTTTATAAATAAGTTCTTTAAGGTCAGATCTATGATAATGTCCTTGGTTTTGCAGTTTTGTTAAGTCTTCCATTCCTTTTGAGATGAGTCTGCAAGTCAACAAAAGTCTTGTTACCTTAAATTATATGAAGAACTTCATTTTAAACCTCTTACAATCTACACTGTTTCTCATAAACTTTGGAAATTAAGTTTGACTAATTGCTTTGAAACAAAGTTAACCTCTGAAACTTAGGAAATAATCTTAAAAGTTAGGAAAAATATTTGTTTTAGAAATCTGACATGAGCACAATCTGTGTGTTACACACATAGCTTTTATACTGTATTTTCCAGTAAAATGTATCATAAGCTAATGCCTTCTAAATCTCAAAATGCTTCTTAGAAATAAAAGTGTACGACTCTAAGAAACACAAAATACAGCTAAATCCTGATGCATTTCACAATATAAAAGGCTGAAACGTTGTCGTTATCTTTTCCACATATCTTTGTTTCAAGTCAAAAAGTCTAAAGTTTTCTGTTGTTTTTGGCCTGACTTTTGTGGAAAAGGTCATGGCAATATTTTTAAAAATTTAATTTTGTTAAATTATGTTTGTGCTTGGAAGGGCTCACAAACAGAATTTAAAAGGCAGATTTTTTTTAATTTTTAAAAAATGGTTGAAACAGACCATTACACTAAACCAAAAATTGAATTTACTCTCCAGGTACAGAAATTATTTTGCTGTGCTGTGAAATCCAGTTCTCTGACATCTCTAAGGCATTTTTAGATTTCTTATAAATTTGTCACATCTAGGTCAGTGATTACTTATGGAAGTTGATTTTTAATTAACTCAAAATGAATTGAGAGTGCATTTTAAAAACCACAACTGAGACCTGGATGTTTTTGGGTCCCCAGCCAAAACTTACAGCCTTAAATGAGTTTTATATACATGATCTCTTTAAATTTGGCCTGTTGCCTCATCTTATGTAATGTCTCTATTTTCCAAGGAAATATATAGGAAGTAATTATGGAATTGAGAATAGTTTTGTATAGAATTCCTTTATTTAATGTTACTGTATTAACGTTTTTATTGAAATGCAGTGGAATATGTGCCAAAACATGTGAAAACCCTTGCATAAAGAAGGGCATCTGTTATATGGGGAAAGGTACACATTTTATGATAGTCCTGAATAATGTGGTGTTACTGTTTGAACCACAGACTTCTTCATATTTTCAACTATGGTTTTTAAGTATGGGACTACTTTCATGTCTAGTAATACACTAATCCCTAATTATCCCGAGTCAGATTGTGAAATTTGTAAGAAACCAGATATAGAAAAAATACACAGGCAAAAATAGATAGGTGGTCAGTTTTACAAACTTGGGGTGCTAATAAAATTAACTCTTTATACAAATAGCCTATATGAATAACCATCAGAATCTGCAAAATTGGAGAATAAAACTAAGTTTTTCTTTAATCTCTTGTTTCCTAAGCAACAGACTGAAATCTTCCATATGAAATCTTCCATAAAAGATTTTGTAATTGGTTATCTCTGCTTTAGATATCATAGATGTCCAAGGGTCAAGGGACCTTAGATCTAAAGAAGGCCTGTGAGTTATAAGACATCAGTTTAACTGAAGTAATCACATTAGTTAATAGAAAAATCCAAATATGCCCTTTCTCCAGGTTAACAAAATGCTTTTAAGTATTTCTTAAAAAAAAAAAAGGTTCACTGATGAGGTGATATTAAGTCATTCAGTCTGGGGCCCAGGTACCTTGGGTGATGCTTTTAGAAAAGTATATTATTTCTTTATTCATTAAAAGTCTGTCCCATATTAATATGCTACATTTTATAAATGTAATGAGTTTGCTCAACTATATGTAACCTAAATTAAAATGATTCTTTAAGGGGGAAAAAAGTATGTTATATAATATTGTGAACTGTTTAGCTTTATTGAACTATTTAAGAGAAAGTGCCTCATTGCTAAAGTGCATTTCTGTTTTAGATTTACTGCATAAGTTTTGAGTTTTCTGTCCCTGTCTCTTATCAATGGTTTTATATCTAAATAGGCTCTTGTAAGTTAGAGTAATCTCTTTTTGAAAGATTTTCATAAGAAAATAGATATCACCAAAGACATTTTAGTGTTAATAACCATGTTAGAGAGACAGTTTTAACTGTTTGGAGGTTGGAAATTTTTAGACTGCAATTTACTTTTATATAATTAGGCAATAACCTTGAGTAGTTGCTAAAATATCACCAAAGAAAGACTTTAAACTTAATTTTCATGGTAAGATCAATCAAATGCAGGTTTTTCTTGCAATAATCAGAACATACTTCCTTTCAGCCATGTTTCTTGTTTTTCCAGCACCATCTGACAGATCTTAGGAAATTCTCAAAGGTGAAAAAGAGATTAACACAACTAGTATCCTCCCTCTGGATGAAAAATGGGAGAAATACATAGTTTGGAGAGAAAATTGAAATTGAGATTTTAAATTCTAATTTGAGAAGCTTTTTATCCCATGGAGGTGATACGGACTAAAATTAGACTTATTTAGTTCCTGGGTTCTTAGTAATATGAGAAATTTTATTAAAGACAGACTTTGGTAAAAGTGCTGACATGCTTACTTGTGTAGAAAACAGTACATTCTCTTGGACTCACATAAGTAAATGCTTTTTCTGTATCCAAAAGCAAAAATTTTCCTAAAGGCCTGTGGGTTTTTTTTGTTTTTTTTTTTTTTTTAAGTAACTCTTTGTCTTGTTTCTCAGCAGTTACTTTGCTTTTAGAATTTAACCGTACAGCCAAATTCGGCAAGATGGGCCCCAGATGAAGAGCGTGTGCATCAGGTTAAGCCCTGTCCTCACACTGATATTCTGGGGAGCCCGTGCTGTGGGCCACTTCAAGTAAAGCTCACACTAATGAAGTCTTCCTGACAGGCCCCTAGGTAAACTTCCTGGGGTAGGGTAAAGATGGATGTACTCATTACATACTCTGGTGTACCATAGGAATTTTCCAGCAGGCTTTACTTTATGCCACTGAGATGTAGATGCTGGTTGTGGGCATTACAAAAAAAGAGTTTGCCATAGCTTTAATTTTGTGGGTTGGAAACATAAAAATATGAAATGCTATCATTTTAAGATATACCCCTGTCCCTACAATAAGGAATATAACCTGTCTGACAGATCTGGTTTATAAAAATTGGAAAACATGCTAAAACTCAAGCCCTCTGAAAGCACAAAATAACCAACTAATTCTGGATTTACTTGATACACTTAGTTCAGTAGTATTTTGTTGAAAAAAGTTCAGATTGAAAGTTCATTAAAAATACTTAAATATTACATCACAGGGTTTTCATAGTTTTTTCTCAAAGCAGTAGCATTTTCCCAATAATTTAAAAGTGATTCCCTTCCTAATGTAATATAGTTTTCACAAGTAGTGTGTTTATTTGCTATCCTGACTATATTTTCAAATACAATTAAAATGCTTGAGCACTTCCTTTTTAGAAAGTTATGGAATTAAAAATAATTTAAAATGTGTCTGTATACTTGCTATGCCCCTTTTTCTAGGGTTCAAAACTTGAGACATTATTCAGAAATGCGTTTTAATTTTAATTGTCTTTAGAATCAAGTGAAACATTAAATACTGGGTCCAGTTTTCTTCCATTTTTCAGAGCTTCATGGAATAAGAAACCAATATCTAGTGCAAACTGAAGATTAAATATTTCTGGGCAGTGCAGAGATAGTGAACAGATTACGTGTATGTGGACTTGACATCAGTCCAGCATAGCAGGCGTTCTACACATTAGAAATGGAATGGGATCAGCCTAACATTGTTTGGGGGCG